GAATCCCATGGACAGAAGAGCGTAGCAGGCTGCAGTCCGCGGGTCACACAGTCGGATATGGCTGAAGTGACTTCGTATGCACATAATGATACATTAGCTTTTATACGTTCAAACAAGGATATATAAAGAAGAGAATTCTCTTAAATATAAATTCCTAGATATAAAAGCTTAAAATGTGGACAAAATTATTTCTTCCTCTGATTAATTTATTAGAATCAACACCACAGATGAAACCATGCAATATTTAAGGCTACTGGTAAACTGGTTAGTCCTGTTGGAAATTATATACAGGCTTACAGCTAGGAGTCTACATTGTAAACAAGAACTCTTTTAACAAGAGAATTATCTCTTGGTTTTAAAGAATGAAACAAATACATAATGCAAGATAGATATTTCCTTCCACTTAATTAAGGGAAAAGACAGAAGTTAATGCCAAACAGTCTCCCAGTGGTAACTTTACATTTGCAGTTTAGTAACAGTGTAGTGATTACAGCATGTCTCAAGTTTGACACATTTTGCTGGGTCACACAGTAAAGACTCCAGTTAGCCAAGCCTTTTGCTGGGTTATTCTCTCTGCTTCAGAAGGACAAAAACATGACATAAAAAAAAAAAGACTTAAAATAACAATCCCATTTTCTATATGCAACTATCTTCTAAGAATTGTCACTGAATATAAATAAGCTTTAAATTTTTTACAATGTTAAGTGCTGAACCTAACTCCTTTCAATTTATTTGAACCCCTACAGGATAAATCAAGTTGAAAATAGAACAATTCAGAATTTAACAGTCTGAAGTGTTAGAAATGAATGATGTATGTCTTATGAAATTGTGGTATAAATTCACTAGAAAAAAATGCTATCAGTTTAAAATTGTTTAAAATAAAAGTGATGGTAGGTAGAAAACACCACTCATCCTCAAAAGAAAAAAAAAAGCTGCCTTTTAATCTATAATTCTAAAAACCTAGTTCTGATACTGAGAAATACAGTTTTCAGAAGAATTTGTACTAATCCATTCACACATACACAATATTCCCTCATAATGAAACAAACTGGTCCTCTCTCAGTATCATGAGGTATGCTTAAGTTTTTATAGGCAGAGGATGGGGGGGGGAAGATCCCAAACTTCCAAAACTGCTTTTGAACTTATTTCAACACTCAGTGTTCCTTTCACATCTTGTAAAAAGATACTTGTCATTTTAAAACAAAACAGAAAAATATCACACGACACTAATATTCTGATTAAAAAACACAACTTTCCCCCTTGAGAGGCTACTGTAGGAAATCTACTCTCTGAGAAAATCGAAAAAGCCATTAACCATCTACTGAGTAAAGCTGGAGATGCCACTGGACTGCCACTTATGAGGCAGCATCACATTAATCTTACCCTAAATCTCCTTTCTAGCTCCTCAAAAGGCACTGAAGTACTGCAAGAGGGCAATTCCTCCCATGGACAAAGATCAGATGAGCGACCTTAATAGAATCCTTCTGCTGCCAGTATAAAGTTGCTTAATTCATTTCCTTCAGTAAGAATAGTGATAAAAAATATACACAGAGCCCACTTTGCTATTTATGAACAATCATGTCCACTCCTTTCCAAAAGATACTCATCCAAAATACAATTTCCCATTTCAAATGCAACTTGAGTCTGCAAACAGTGCAAAAATGGAAACAGTATGAAATGATAGTGAGGAATTACAAGCAACCAACTCATTATTCAATCAAGAATTTGGCACAACCGTAAACCATGTACCATCTATTTTAATGGATCTTAGTTCTCTTGCTATCAACTGAACTTCCCAATCACAAATTGAACAACGACTAGTGCCAAAACCTGATAATTTTCTCACTTTTTCTGTGTGAAAATACTGTTACAAAGCAGGGAAGCATACAGTACTATTCTTGACACATGCAGTTTGCATACTCTATAAACTAATATAAAATGTGTGTAAACCATAATACATTTACTCATTTCCAGGAAAGGCAGATAGATATTAATGTCCCTCTATATGTGCAGTATAACAAGAGTAAACATGCAGTTTCCCCAAATAGTGGAATATCTCCAAATCCCATTGACTACTCTTGGCCACTGTTTCATTCATAAGAGCAATATTTGAGAATGAAATATCTATCTAGGCTTTTCAATCAGTTTCTAGTAAGGCAAGCTTTCCAGTTACATAGAATTTTTGTCTCTAAAAATTGTCTATTACTAATTATACAGAACAAAATTATTAAAACTTTAGAGTGGAAAGAACATTTCAATCAACCATCACCTTTATTTATATCAAGACAGATATATACACATATATCCAATATAGTTTTCTGTAGTGAATTTAGATTATGGTCATATTGTGAATATCCAAACAAATTTTTTTTTTAAAAGAGCAATTTTTATTGACTTACTCAATGATGAAGAAAAACCTCATCACCTGCCTTTTATTAGCACAAATGGCTCTTATCTGTTACTTTCTATCAGGAGCATATTAAATTGTAACAAAAACTGCATCAAATTGCACCAACTATTTATGTTTAATTAACTTCCAATTTTAGTGAAATTAGAAATTCAGGATTTTGACAAATTTGTACACCATTTCTCATTAATGAAACCTAAGACAGAATTACATTTGAGTATTTGTAACATGGAAAAGCAATAGAGCACTCAAGCATAACATACGTCTACTTCTATCCCAAAGATCATATAACAACACTTCAAGTTTATTAAATCTGTGTTCTGCAGAGTGGAGACATTGTGAGGGGTGGAGCTGGCCAACACAGGTGGAGTGTAACCTCATTAAAATCTTTTATTGAAAATACAAACTCGACTAGTTTCATAAATTCTATAATTATTTTAAAAAATCTAATTTTGCATCCATAGTTATTTTACCAGAAAAAAATGGAGGCAACAGGCAACAATGGTCAGTTAAAAACGTATTACTGAAAATCTGAATGAGAGAGACAATATAAACTATCTTTAATAATAAAGCTCTTCTTGAAGGGGATATAGTCAAGCCTGACTAAGATGATAAGTAAATATAAATAAAAGTGCTTAACACAAAGAATAAACTACAGTACAAAGTAAAAATATTAGAATAAAAAAAAAATCTCACTAAGGAAGATGTGAAGTTAATCAGAAAATATAATTTATTTATGGAAAACATTTTATTTTATTTTGATTTTAAATGGTGAATTTATGGTTATTTTCTTAAAAATAAAGAAAAACAAAAAACCCTAGCTTCCCATTCTTCTAGGTATGAATTCACAAGCAAAAAAAAACATAAAGCTCTTCAAGTACTTCTTTTGCTTCTTAATACCTGGGGTACCTTAAATTTAAAGATGGCCTTGGCCTTTAAGTGATGGAAGGTTTCAGCAACAAGTTACCAGAATACAGAACTTGACTGCTCAGTGCTCAAATGTTTACTCTTAAACTTATTCCCACTCCTCCCCTCGATAATCCCACTTATACTAAATATTACTGCCATCTCATCATTTCAGTAAACATAGCATAACACTCACACATTTTAGCTCTCTAACCGTAACACAATACCCTTGAAGTCTGCATGAACCAGGAGCTCTTACGCAAGCATTCCAGCAGCGTTCGCCTCTGTGTCAACACCACCAAAGCAACCTGCTGCAAGTTCAAGAACGTCTGCGCTAGGACTATACCCACTTCTTTCAAAACTCTCCCTTCACCTAAGGGTAAGACAACCAAGATTAAGGGGCCTATGGCTAAATCGATGAGAGAAGCAGCAATCCAATGACAAGCAACTGAAGATACCGGGGATTATAAAAATTACCCTTGTCAACTGTTAGATTAGGTGATCATACAGTTGGACTTTTTAAAGTGGGAAACTCTAAGAATGACTGTCTCAGAAGGCAAGATTGAGTGAATGGAAAAAGAACACTGGCAATGGTAAATATATAGGGAAATATAACACTTTTTTTAACTTTTTTTATTCCTTTAAAACATTAATAGTGGTTTGGTTCTCTTGGGATGGTAGGAAGGTAAGCCCAGTACTTTATGAAGTCCACAATGAATATGCGGCACTTGACAGATAGCATTTCTTTTCCTCATCAGATCCTCCCTCCATCCTATTCTGGATACCAGGAAGCTGACCTATATATATGGTTCACATAAGAGAGCTCCCTTGCACTCAAAATTCAAGTGGGTATAGCTGATGGGAAGTATGAAAGAAATTCTATGGGTTCAGAGAAAGCAAGAAGAGGCTGGACCTTCTCCCTGCTGGGAAATGTTGAAATAAAATTTTTCATTATAGCTCAAACCATTAACCAAATATCTAAAGAAACGCAAGAATTTCAAAAGTGATACACACAACTAAACACAGAAATAAAATTACTTGGCATCATTTACTCTTTTTAAAACCCTTGACAATATATTCCTTTTTTCAAAAAAAGAGTGAGTGGGAATTCTTCTTAGCTTATATCTAAATATGTTATATTCCTATATACTATACTATATTATGTTACTTAATTTAAGATACAGTTTCAGTAATATTATAAACAAGTAAGGCCTAGTAGCAGTACATTCTAAGAACTGATGAGGTTTGATTACTTATATTTAATTTCTATATTTTGGGGCCATTGACATTTAGCCATTTATTTTAATTTCAATAAATATCTTAATCTAAGAAAAATGCAACATTACTTCAATTAATCATAAAATATCTTACCCAAAAATAACCTGAGAAAACATTCAATAAAAGGCAGAATCCTTTGAAGCCGTCAACGCAGGTACATACCTTACCTTGGCTTAAAATCAAATAGCATTCTTTAAATCAAGAAATAGGTATGTAATTACTGAAAGAAATAGCAACTGAACTGAAAGGAATGATTTTACAACATTACCTTTCCATACAGAACTGGGTAAAAAACCACAAATATAACACAACTAAATATGAAGATTATATGTGACATATCAAAATCAATTATGCAATAGAATTTTTAAAATATAAATGTATATGGGTGGGGTTTTGTTTTTGTTTTTACCTGTTTTGCAATTTCTCTTAAACAGGCTACTCCTTGTTCAAAATTAGGGAAAGCTACTGAGCCATACTTTTGGTATTCAGGAATTGGTCTGATTTTTATTGTAGCTTCTGTTATCACACCAAGAGTTCCTGAAAAAGAAGGGGGAATATCCAATATATCACATGCCAATTTTCTAAATCATATTTAAAATTATTTTATCTATTTATTCTAGTAATTTATTCTATTACTCGTATTTAAATCTATTTAGTCTATTCTATGTGGGGAAAAATGGCTACTCAAGTCTTCCTAGAAAAACAACTAAGCAAATTTTATAATTTCTTAAAAGAGGTCTCTGGAATACATTTTTCTTAGTTATGTATAAATATTTTAAAACAATTTAAGGTAAACTTTCTCCAAGAAGGTTAATTTTAAATAGTTTTTAAAGTATAACAACCTGTTAAAATTTTTTAAAAAATCTTAAAAGCAACAGGTTTGCATAGCTCATATGCATTCAAACAAAGGTATATTTTGATATTTGAGCCTATTTTGATTATGACAATTTACTGGGGTGAAAAGAACCTAATTTTCTATGAGAATTTAAGATGACATTTTCTATGTCATTTAAGATGACAGAAGAAATTAGACTATCACTTTGCCTTTTTTTCCTAAGAATTCATAGAAAGAAAAGACAAAGACAGTATTCAGATGTCCTAAGAAGAAACAAACAAACAAAAACCCCAAATATTTCAGAGACAAAAGTTATCAGTTATCATAAATAGCTAGCACAAGAGGACCATTAATGAAACAGATGTCCTTTTCTTTATCACACAGAGGAGTGGAGGACAAATCAGAGAGGAAAAAATCAAGTTAAATGTAACTAATATGATTTAAACATCTATGCTAAAATATTTGAAGAACCATGGTTAAAAATAATGTATTAAAAAAGCCAAGCTTTTCAAATCAGTGCTTTCTAATTTATAAATGATATAAATTATTCCTAATAATATAAAGTAAATTTTCTGAGAATCATGAAACAAAGAACAAAAGGGAAATCTGAAGTTGTAGAACTTAATAACACTAGAAATGTTAAAAATATCACAAAAAACAATAAATTTATAATATACCTAAAATATCAATACGTAATACAAGATTAAAAACTACTGTGAATCTACAAAAAGTAAGCTATATTATACCACATTATGCTTGTCACACATACAAATGATTTCCTACTCAGACAGCAAATACAAACCTATTTTGATTTGTAAATCACAAAAGCTCTGCAAGATTGGCCTGTTTAATACCTGAATTAAAAACAGATATGATCTCACTTTTACGTGGAATCTAATAAAAATAATCAATAAACATACAGCAAACTTATAGAAAAAGACATCAGATTTGTGGTTACCGAGGGCAGGGGAAGGAAGAATTGAAGTGGTCAAAAGGTATAAAGTTCCAGTTATAAGATAAATAAATATCAGGGATGTAAAGTACAACAAAAAGACCACAATTAACACTGCTGCATGAGATACAGGAAAGTTGTTAAGAAAGTACATCCTCAGAGTTATCACAAGGACAAGTTTTTTTTCCTTTTCATCTTATCTACATGAGATGATGGATGTTAACTAAACCTACTGTGGTAATCATTTCACAACACATGTAAATCAAACCATCATGCTGTACACTTAAAACTTATACAGTGATATATGTCAATTATTGTTCAGTAAAACCAGGGGGAACAGTGGGAAGAACCTCTCCCAAGCGCAGAAAAAAATATCAAACACTAACCCTAGGAGCTATCCCTTCTAAGGGATACATTTTAAATGGGTAAATTTGTAAAATTTAAACAGGTAAAGTATGTAAATTTCTATCTCAGTAAAACAAAGGAAACTTCAGTTACCTTTTTAAACAAGGAACCATACATTTTACAAATAGGGTTACTTTTAAATAGCTATCTTAGACCATAGAAAGAATCTAAAAGAACTTCTAAACCTATGCCAGAATGGAGGCAAGAGGCTGACAGGCAGATTATTAGTACTATGCTGTCTCCTCACCCAGCAACACAGAATTATCTATTACATCTATTCTTTCTTACGAAGACAAGTAGTATTACTTTAACTTTTAGTGTTGCTAATTTTCTACCACTATTCTGACACCATCCCTAAGCTTATTTGTAATTCTTTCTACTCTTTCCAACGTTTAGAAGTTCTTGGTAGTCTTAAAATTAATACCTCATGCTGAAAGTTATTTCTACAAATAAACTGAAATTTTTCAGACATAAGCTCCTAAAGACATGAATCATCTTTTCCATTTATTCTAACCTATCCACAGACTACATAAAACTTTAATACTTGCTCAAACTCAAAAGTGACCAGGTTAAAATTCATTAAGGAAAATGTCAGTATAAGCCTTGATTTCAGACAGGTAAATTTCTCCATTTAAAACTAAAGTTGAAACTCCCAACTTTTTACAAAATATTTCTTTACATTTCAGAAATAAATCTCTTTGAAAATATTTCTATAAATTACTGCATAAGATATAACCTAAATATAATCCAAAGGAAAAATTCAAACCATTTAAAAGCCAATCAATAAGGATCTGCTTAAATAGAACAGAGTACATTCCAGGAATGTTGTATCAGGTAGCTGATGAAAAGAATGCTGCTGCTGCTAAGTCGCTTCAGTCGTGTCCGACTCTATGCAACCCCACAGACGGCAGCCCACCAGGCTCCCCTGTCCCTGGGATTCTCCAGGCAAGAACACTGGAGTGGGTTGCCATTTCCTTCTCCAATGCATGAAAGTGAAAAGTGAAAGTGGAGTCGCTCAGTTGTGTCTGACTCTTAGCGACCCCATGGACTGCAGCCCACCAGGCTCCTCCGTCCATGGGATTTTCCAGGCAAGAGTACTGGAGTGGGGTGCCAATGCCTCCTCCGGATGAAAAGAATGAAGTGCTTCTAAATGTGATGGTTTGGAGTGAGCTCTACAAAATTCAGCACAAAGCAAAGAGTAGTAAACTCCCATTTGTGCTTTTAAAAACATATATATACATGCTTATATATATATATAGCAAAAGTGTTTACTCTGGGCAAGGGAGATGCCTAAAAGACAAGGATAGAAGGCTGATTTTTCCCTATACATCATTTAGTACCTTTTGAATTTTGTACATATCTTAACTTTGTACATGTAATTACTTGCTCAAAAAGTTTACACACACACATATAAAACATTAGCAAACTCTCTTTAAAATTCTAATTTGACATCAAAATTCTAAGGTATTAATTAAGGAGTGACCATGCCCTAAATTTCGGCACAGCCATACTGCCTCGTATGTATAGTAGGTACTCTAAATCAGTAAAACCCACTGTAACACTAAGTAATATTAAAAAATAAAAATTGGTAAAATGAGACTTTACACTGTTGCAAGATTAATGAAATGACCAAGGCACGTCTGTGCAACTATCTAGCTATGAGTTCTGCAGCAGGAGGGGGGGTTGAGGGGGTCCCCACCTTAAAAGGAAACTCCATCCAAGTCCCAAATGCACTCTGACTCAGGGCAGTTCTTCCACACAGATCTATATTCAAATTAATCCAATCACAAAAGTTTATATCTAAATTCACTTCATCAAAAGGCTCATTTCTGTTAGGCTTATTGATTATTTTTATTGAGCTTTATTGTTTATTGATTCTTTTGCTCTGGGAATTTTATGTCAGTGGAGTGATATAAAACTACTTAAGATTACCTATCACTTGACTATTTGCACATTATACTAATGTTTCATACCCACTTTATATAGTCGTAAACAACTCCATAGCAAAGTGACATCATAGATGTCATTCACTTTTCTTTTTCAATAAAAATATGCTGCCGTAAATTTAAGAATTTTCTGTTTTACAGTTAAAATATAATGTTCTTAAGAAAACTGAAAGCTTCAACTACTATCTAATAAAAATGCAAGTATTTGCTGGAAGTAAATAAAATCTTTCATAATTTGAAAATATACCTTCAGATGACTTCAGGACTGAGAAGAATGTTAGTCATTTGATTCTGAATCTACTCCTCCCCACCCCCAACATGAAAATCAATAGGGAAAACAGTAAACCACACAGGACACACACTTTAGTATTAAAAGGAGACAAAATATACTATGACCTTCAAATTATTCATAAGTAGAGATAAAAAGTAAAAATTCCAACAGACGTTTTACAATCTTCCAGCTGCTACAAGAAGAAAGTAAGGGGTGAGGAGTGGGCGTGGAGGAGTGTTAGAAGACTCAAGAAAGACTCCTTAAGAGAGACTCTTTAAGACTGCTTGAGAAAGAATGAAAGCAGCAGAGGACTTAAACGAGGCAGACATGAAATCAACCCCAGAAAGAAAAAGTGCAGCAATAAACCCGAAATACTATATAAAACCTGATAATCTAATCCATAACCCTGGCTCTCCATAACCCTGGAGGGGTTTGAAGATGGAACCAGAAATGACACCCTTGGAGAAGTAGGGGAAGTATTTTCAAAGAAGCATCAACTTAGAGTAGTGTAGTACTCCTTGGAGACAAGGTAGTGAAGGGAAAGACTAAAATTAGGAGAAAAATTAAAGATCTGAAAGAAATAAAAAACACAGGATATGTCATGGCTTCTGCCACCAAAAACACCACCATTCATGAAGCAAACAGCACAAAAGAGAGTATGTGACAGAATAGAACACTCTCAAACTAGGAACCCTTTCCAGGAAATAAACAGGAACAAAAAAAAAGCAAACCAAATCCAAATAAAACTACTTTAAAAAGGTCAGAAAATGCAAATAAAAGCTTTTCCACTGATGAAAAGCTCCCCGGACAAAACAAGCAATGATCCTGGAGAAAACCATAACACAACTTTTCAAACTCCATTCAATATTGTCAAATAAGCATTTGACGATATGAAAAAAACACTTGAATTCGAAATATAAACACTAAAAAGGTAAATGGACAAAAAACAAGAAGAAATGAAATAAAAGATGACCCAACTCAGGTAAGAAACAGAACAACAAAAATGAATACTAGGCTACAAGGAGGAGAAACAATAGATTCAAATGAAAGCTTAACAGGGGGCATTGAAGAAAAGCAAGAAAATAACCAAGTGAATGAAAATGATATTAAGAAACAAGTTGAAGGAAAAAGATTGAAAAATCATGGCTGAAATGGCAAACAAGCAAAGAAAGTCAGACAAACATACAATTGGTATCCCTGCAAAAGAAAAATCAAAACAGTGCAGGGAAGGGGGAAATGTGCTCCAAAATCCTACTACTCAACACTACAATCCCCAAAACACCTTTACAGAAATAAAAGACTAGCATATACACACAGAAAGGGTCCCTGGATACCAGAGCAAAAGTAAAATAAACTTTAATGGGGAAAAAAACCAAACAAACACCATTCTTAGTTCCTCCAGGCAAAAAGACAAGAGAATTGGCATCAGATTCCTCAAAACAGCACAGAAAACCAAAGCAACAGTGGTACAGTATTTAAACAAGGAAACAATGTGTGACGCATGAAAGTCAATGAAGCTGTCATGCAAGTATCAAGGCCATAGAAAATAGTTTAGAACATTCCCGAACTCATGGGATATACAGATATGTCTTTCCTGAGGAAATCTACTAAAAGATGAGCTTTATTTAACCAAAAGATGAAGTAAAGTAACACAGAAGGACCAACAGTAAGCATTTCATCCATTTCATTTTAGAGCAAAGACTAAAACAAGGGTGGGCAATGAGTTAAAAAATAAAAAATGTGCTTTTAAGCCATTTTTCAAATAATAGAGCAAGTCATTATAAATTACTAGGAAATTCCATATATAGGAAAAGAATGAAAAACATTTCAAATGCTTTATTATATTTTTAATTATATTGATCAATTTATATGATATATAAACTGGGAGGAAGTTGCTTATCCAAAAAATCATTATGAAAAATTCATAACACAAAATGACAAAAACATTAAACTTAACTTGGTTATTCACATGTGGAACTTAGTAGGATAGGGGGAAATAGGCTTTTTATAATAGTAATGCTTTCAAGGTTGTCATCAAATGACTTCCTTCATGGCTCAGACTGTAAAGAATCTGCCTGCAATGTAGGAGACCAGGTTTGATCCCTGGGTTGGGAAGATCTAGAGAAGGGAATGACAACCCACTCCAGAATTCCTGCTTGGAGAATTCCATGGACAGAGGAGCCTGGTGGGTCACAGTCCATGGGGTCGCAAAGAGTCAGGATATAACTGAGCCACTAACACAAACATAATGCTTTCAAGGCTGTCATCAAATGATTTAACTACAGCAAAAGAAAATACTTTCTAAAGCTCAAGGAAAAGTGTATGATTCAAATTTAAGGCAGGAGGTTATTAAACAGTTCAAAATAGCAGAAAAAACAGTATTGCTATTAAAGAGTATGACTTCACACAAGTTTACCTTCTCAATCAAGCTGTCTCCTGGCCTACAGTAAGATGACTCTATATTCACATATATACAGAAATGGCGACCAGGGACCACAAATATACTTACAAAGATCACTGATGCAAAAATAATAAACAGTCACAATAGTAATAAATTTAACATTTTCTGAGTACTTACTATCTGCTTATAAACTGTGTGGCATAATCTCATCTGACCCTCCCAAAAGGCTTATGAATACTTATGATACTTTTATTATCCCCATTTTACAGCTGAGGACACTGGGCATAGAGAATCACCTAATTTACACAGTCACAGAAATATAAGTGGTGAAACCAGGACTAAAATCCAAGTCTGAAAGATTTCATGGTTCATGCTCTTAGATCAGTATGGCATTCTGCATGGATCTTTTTAATAAAATCTCATTTAAATACAGTAATGTATCCTAGTACATATGCTTTTTAAAAAGTAAGCAAAGATACAGAGTTTATTATAATAAGTTTGCTTTCCTTAAACTCATACAATAATTTACTATTGAGGTATGAGGCAGCCCAGTGTTTTGGATAAAGTTCAAACTATTTTAAAAGGGATAAAAGACCAGATTATCTCTTCAGCCACCCTGTAATCCTTACCACTCCACCTCAACCTACAGTCTACTCCACCCTACAATTAAATCTTCCAGTCCTACTGAAAAGCTGGCACCCTCACAAGGCAGACACAGCACTTGCTCACTTGTAAGTCTGCTCACACCAGTTCTCTCTGCAGGGCAACTCCTTCCCCGCCTATATTCCTGCAACTCTGTCTAGAATTATTTTCTCATCGCCCTTGAAGGACCATTTGAGGCATGACCCCTCTAAGGAAATCTGCCTAAGCATGCATCTACATGACCTTTGTTTGTGTATCTCTTCTGTTTATATCTATCATAAAATTTATCTTATTCTGTTAATAATTGTCAATTATTATCTGTGCCCTTGAGTGTTCCAGCACAGTACCTAGCAATCAGAACTTTTAAAATGCTAACTAATGGGAGAAAAAAATGTCTGATGTGGTTACTTGAAAAGATAATTTATAGGGTTGACTCCAACTATCTATATACCAACAGTAAAACTAATAATTATCAGTTTTAAAACCTATTATTCAATTTGAGATTTAATGAGATAAAATTATATTTTTTTTTCAGTTAACTCTTAGATGATAATATGAGAAGTTCCAAAATTATACTTTTAAGAGAACTCTATTATTTTAAAGGAACATAACATTTTGTTTTTCTCATCAAAAAGAGAGTAAATTGGTGAAATACCTTGACAAAGGTTTGTCACTAATTATCATGAAAAATATCTAGGCTATTACCACTGGTCATCATAACTTAATAGATGACTTTCAGTGCATTACTAAGACACATAATTTGTAATTTTTTTCCTTGATGCTACCATCAAAAGTTAGAATTACGCCCTAAAATCCTAGCTTATTATAAGTGCTCTTTTATCCATGAATATAGCTATATGTTTTGAAAATCTTTTTAACAACTTGTACTACCTTCTGACTTTACTAATGAGTTCCTCTGGTAATGTAGAAACACTTTATTTCTCTAAATTTAAAGGATAACTATCCCTCTCTACCATCCTAAGAACTGAAAAATATGCCTACCTTCACCTTAACCATAAAATTCCCAGTGTCTACGTAACAGTTTGCAAACCAGAAGGAAGGCTAGTTTTTGGTCCTTTTTCTGATAGATACAGAAATTAAATGTTTTGCATAAAATGAAAAACTATATTCTAACCTACCCAGTATTAAGTAAACCAAGCAAAGGACATGACTTAAGCGAAAAAAATAAAAGACCAAGAAGTTTGAAAAGATGCGAATTTTAAATTTCACTTCTTAAAACACCAAGTAGGAAATAACAAAAGATAAAATCATAGAAAGACAATAAGACAATAAGAAATACAATAAGAAAGACAATAAGATAATACTTTATTAATCCTTTCCTCTTGATAATTCAGAGATTAGAGAATATCACACCATAAAATATTAAAGCAAACCATTTTAAACCCTAACAACTACTCCTGCTAAAATTGATTCAAAACTCTAAAAGAAAAATAAAATAACACCAAAAGGACTAAGCTGGCTCTAAAACCATAAAAAAGCAAATGCAGGAGAAAGTTTAATAAGATGTTCTCATAATAAAAATTTATGAAGTACTAAATTAAAGTAATAAAACTTAAAAAAACACCATTCTTTAAATACACAAAACATGTCTTTCTTTCAAAAATCTGATATCACAATATCACAAATTTTTACAAAGTTGAATCACTAACCTGTATTTTTTCATAATAAATTTGCAGTTATATTTACCTTCAGATCCCATGATGAAGTGATGGATATCAGGGCCTGTTGACATTCGAGGTCCTTGACAGCTTTTTTCTATTATACCTCTAGGTGTTACCATTTTTATATGAACCACCTGTTTAATACAATGCATGATGTAAATTCTAGATATCTGTCAGTGAATGTTGCTTGTGTGGGTACACACACCCTATATATTTATATAAAACACTATTTTTAAAATATTGGTTTAAGTGACAAATGGTGATTCCCTTCAGAATTCTAATATCTTTTAGTAATTATTAGACTAAAAATAAATTTTATATAACTTTAAAAGAGGGGAAAAAAGATTCTAAGATTGTTATTGGTCTAGGAACATTCAGTCTTAAAAACTGAAAAACAATTTCTTTAAACCAAAGTTACTCTAGGGTTGTCCATGTGGTAAAGAACTAAAGGACAGGAAAAATATGCAATGATCATATTTTAATGGGTTCATTCTTTCACTCATTTAACATTTAGGAAGCCCCATTATGCATGTCAAGCACTATTTAGATGCTTAGAATTCTAAGAAAAGATTTATTCTTGTCTTATTCCCACCTTCAACTTATCTACTTTACCCACTCAGTAGAAAAGAATGAAGTATTAATTTTGATCATATCAAAATTGGGATGAAGAGGGAGATGTGGTGATTGAGTTAAAAAGAGGAGGAGAGATATGTGTGAGACATGTCTCACACATGTGAGAAAATCAGTGTCGGGAGAGGGTCAATCAAAAAATATTCCTCAGATCTGACTCAGAAATGGTTAGGTAAAACCCAACACATTCTTAGGATGGTTTTTTGATGGATAAATAAAAATAGAGTATGTATTGTTGAAAGAAATGAACAAAGGATGTAAATAAACAATTTACAAAATAACAAGAAAAATTGCCAATAGGACATTTTAAAAGTTTATTCTTACTAACAAAGAAATATAAAATTATATGACAAAAACATAAATAAAAGGTCTAGTAAAATAAACATTCTCATAGTGCTAGTAAGAATATCAAATGGCACAAGATATTAAAGAGCAACTTGGTTATAAGGGTCCAAAGACATAAAAACATGCTTGATCCAACAATTCAAACTCTAGGAACTTACCCAAAGAAAATGATCAAAGATGTATGCTAAAGAAATTACTACAAAGGATATGTTTCCCTTTATTTATTTCCATAACTTTTAAATAAAATGTAACTTAAATATTCTTTTATAGGGAATTACTTTACTAAATCACAAATTATCAATGAAAGAATTATATGCAGTTTTTAAAACTAGTTATGCAAATCTATGCTCATATACATGGTAATTTATTGATAATATAGTTTAAAGAGCAGATTAAACCAGTATGATGCTTTTTTATAATTAAAACTAGATATAAACATGCAAATATATATATTAAGATGTGTACTTATAATTTGTGGCCCTTAAGTAACCGTAAAAAGGATTAAAACAAATTGCATGCTTTAGCAGTCCTAAAGGTAGCAGTCTATCAAATATGCTTAACTTTGATAACACTTTTAATAATTCAATAGCAAAAGGATCAAATTCTCTCCTCTGAAACTGAATTTGTTATCTTAACTGCAAAATGAAAAATGTGATTTCTAAAATATCTTCAATTAAAGATAATGTAAATATTTTTAAAGTGTTCATTATAAAGACAAAGTCTTAAATTGTTGGGTGTTAACTACAAAGAACCAATATATTTTATCAATAATTGATATTTCTATCAACAAAAACAATGAAAATATTGTAATGCTAGAGTTGAAAAACAAAGTTAAACAGCTCTAAGAATAATGTTAGGAATACCACATTAATAGTCTCAAAAACTATCTTTCAAATTGTTATCAAAATATTGATGATAAAGGGAACTAACATGTATGAAGTACCTATTACATACCAAGGATTCCACTAAGAGTTTTCATTTTATGTCCTTTATTCCTCATAGCAATTCTACACAACAAATAACATCATTCTATTTTATACTGTAGGAAATTGATGTTTAGAAAGATGAAACAATTTGCACAAGGTCACACAATTAATCACTGTAAAAACTACAAATGGAACAAATGATACTAAATTCCTAGCCAGGATGCCTACCACACTAACTCTCAAGAGCAATGACACCAGGTCAGTGAAAACAAAGTGATGTGTACATAAAACATTACACTAACTAGAACATTTTCAATTGGGCTCTTTAATTCTACACAGAAACTTTTTATCAGAAAAATAAATATAATATCTCATAAGGCCAAAGAATAGTAATGACAGACCACCTAACTAAACAGACTAAAATCTTGGTAGAGTTGAAGACTAAGGTGCCAAGTCTTGCAAAATAAAATTCATATGTATTTATAAGTCAGATAAAACATCTACAAAGCTTAGATATCATTCACTCAAAAAGAAGCATTCTTAAATGACCACAGTTGTGTCTTTTAACTATTTGGATTATAATGCACAGTCAGTGTTATTATAATCAAATGGGGTATACATTTGAGGGGACTCTTCAACTCAAATTTTAACAGCTTAACAACCTTTAATAATAATCTCTATCGACCAATCAATTATTATATAGTAACTAGAAAAAATTTACCAAGTCCTCAATATTGCCATAGATATTCTTCTTCATGCCTGATGCTCGAGTAGATAACCATCCTCCCACAGTGCTGAATTCCAGGGAATCTGGTTCATGACCTGTACAATAACCACTTTCTTTAAGCTGAAAAACAAAAATGTAATATTTTACCAGTGAAAATGGCCCCATTTCACACAGCACTCAACACATTAACTCCTTCCACATTAGAATTTCCATATGTCTTTTCTATCTGGACTCATTAAAACCTAAATAGATAAAGAAATACTTTCATCATACTTGTCCAAAAATATTTTTAGCTTTTGCCTAGTGGAAAACTTCACAAAACTGAAAACTATGAACCAAGAGGCAGCTATATTTTCCACAGACTTACTGGGCAATCATACTCCTTACATTCTTTCATTTAAAAGACAACTACCTTTCTTACTTTTTATTCCAACAAAGAGACAATTTAAATACTTACAGAAATCAGATTATACTTAAATAAGTGCCAAGTTCACCTGAACACTTTCAATAAATAAAGCACTTAATCTCTTATTTTCCCTATCCTAATATAATCTGCAGCAGGCCTGCAGAAAATCTGAGCAAATTGCCTGTACTTAAATCTCTCAAGGAGTCATGTGTTTTAATGTACAGCCATCTGGCTAGGTTTCCTGCATGTAATACCATCACTTATTTGTGATGCAGATCATGCATTCCTGTACATTAAATAGTCACTTGTTTCTCGTTTCTCTATATTAGCTTAGCTTTGCCATCTGCACAGCACCTGAGGTTGAATGGGTGCCCTTTACTGCGCCACCACCAAAGCCATTCCACCGAAATCATTTTAAAGGCTCAGCCACCTCATGTTGAACGGCACAGACACCACCATCTGCATACCCACTGTCTACTGCACTCAAGCCCATCAATCTGTGTTGACCACTTTGATAGTCATCCAATTAAGCAACTGTTTCTATTTTTCAAGTAAGCCATGCAGAGATGTAGAATGTGTCAGTTGTGTTTATAATATGTATGTGTGTATTTAAGTATTGTATAAAAGTTATAATCCAAAATTTGAAAGTCGAGTAGGCTAAATAGAATTTGTTAGCTTCTGCAGATATGCAATGCAAATAATTTATCATGTCTAATTTTGTTGCTAGAAAACAGGATTTAAAAAGACATTACATAATAGAATTTTTCACTAAACATTCAATATGTTTATTTAATTTTAAGAGGTAAATAACCACTCATAAATAAGTAGCTTAAATACAAAACTGAACATTAAAATCAAGATTATCAGACCAATATACTTCCCTAACTCCCCAACAATCTTTACTCATATCCTAACAATCTATATTCATACTATGCTGTGCTCAGTCACGTCTTGACTCTTTCTGACCCCAGACTGTAGCCTGCCAGTCTCCTCTACCCATGGAATTTTTTATGCAAGAACACTGGAGTGGGATACTATTTCCTACTCCATATTATTTACTCTCAAAAGACTACTGTCTTTCAACTTTTCTGAAGGTAACAAATACACACATATACACACACATAGAACTCTTGAAACTAAACAAGAAAAAATCCAATTAAACAATAGACCAAAGATCTTAATAGACATTTCACTGAAAATAGCAAATAATCATATGAAAAGATGTTCCACATCATATGTCATCAGTTCAGTTCAGTTCAGTTCAGTTCAGTCGCGTCCAACTCTTTGCAACCCCATGAATCACAGCACGCCAGGCCTCCCTGTCTATCACCAACTCCCTAAGTTTACTCAAACCCATGTCCATCGAGTTGGTGATGCCATCCAGCCATCTCATCCTCTATCGTCCCCTTCTCCTGCTGCCCCCAATCCCTCCCAGCATCAGGGTCCTTTCCAGTGAGTCAACTCTTCACATGAGATGGCCAAAGTATTAAGAGTTTCAGCTTTAGCATCAGTCCTTCCAATGAACACCCAGGACTGATCTCCTTCAGGATGGACTGGTTGGATCTCCTTGCAGTCCAAGGGACTCTCAAGAGTCTTCTCCAACACCACAGTTCAAAAGCATCAATTTTTCAGCACTCAGCTTTCTTCATAGTCCAACTGTCATATCCATACATGACCACTGGAAAAACCATAGCCTTGACTAGACGGACCTTTGTTGGCAAAGTAATGTCTCTGCTTTTTAATATGCTAAGTTGGTCATAATACCAATTAAAACAACAAGATACCACTACACCTCCAAATGAATGGCTCCAAACCAGAATACTGACAATACCAAATGCTGGAGAGGATATGTGGCAGCAGAAACTCTCAGTGCCGGTGGGAATGCAAAATGGCACAGCTACTTTGGAAGACTGACACTTTCTTACAAAACTAAATACACTCTAGCAATCATACTCCCTTTATTTAGTCAAAGGAGTTGAAAACTTAAGTCCTCATAAAAACCTGCACACAAATGTTTAAAGCAGCTTTATTCATAAGTGCCAAAACCTGGAAGCAATCAAGATATCTTTCAGTAGGTTAATGGACAAACTATGGAACATTGAAATAACTGAATATTATTTAGTGCTGAGAAGAAAAAAGCTATCAAGCCATGAAAAGACATGGAGGAAACTTAAACATATGTTACTAAGTGAAAGAAGCCAATCTGAAAAGGCCACATATTCTATGATTCCAACTGTATGACATTCTGAAAAAGGCAAAACTATGGAAACAAGAAAATTAGTGGACGACTTCCCTGGTGGTCCAGTGGCTAAGACTCTGGGCTCCCAACGCAGGGGGGGTTGGGTTCGATTCCTGGTCAGGAAACTAGATCCCACATGCTGCATCCAAGAGTTCACATGCCACAGCTAAAGAAGCCACATGGCTGTAACAAATGAATACTGAGGATCCCACGTGCTACAACTAAGCCCCGGCACAGCCAAAGAATTAAGTAAATTTAAAAAAAAAAAAATAGATCAGTGGTTGCCAGAGGTGAGGGGTTGGAGGTGGAAAATAAATAGGAAGAGTACAGAGAATGTAGGGCAGTGAAGATACTGAGTGATATTATAATGATGGGCACTCAACAATTATTTAAACATTTGCCCAACCCACAAATGGACAGCACCATGTGCGCACCCTAACATAAACTAAGGACTTTCTGTAATTATGATGTTCCAATGTAGGGTGTCACTGTATCATTTATATGTGGAATCTAAAAAAGCTGAACTCAAAGAAACAGAGCATAGACTGGTGGTTATCATGGGATGACAGGGTGGGGGAAATGTGACGATATTGGTCAAAAGGTACAAACTTCCAGTTACAACATGAATAAATTCTGAGAATTCAAAACAAAGAAATCTACCAATCTTGTGAGTGATGTTGATATTGGGGGAGGATAGGCATGCATGGGGACACAGGCATATAGGAAATCTCTGTACCTCCCTCTCAATTTTGTTTTAAACCTAAAACTGCTCTAAAAACATATGAAAGATATTTTCAGACAAAAGCAGAAAAAGTCATAAACAGCTGACCCACACTAAAGATATAAATATTTAAAACAAGTTTTTCAAGCAGAAAGTATCACCAGATTGAATTAAAGGCATCAAAGGGTAACTAGGGACTTCCTTGGTGGCTCGGTGGTAAAGAACCCACCTACTAATGAAGGAGATGTGGGTTCGATCCCTAGATTGAGAAGATCCCCTGGAAAAGGAAATGGCAACTCCAATGAGTTGCCTGGGAAAACCCATGGACAGAGCAGCCTGAGAGGCTACAGTCCACGGGGTTGCAAGGGTTGGACATGACTAAGCAACAAAAAACAAAACAACGAAGGGTAACTAGACAGGTAAATATAAAAGATGCTTCTTATTGTTTAAACATCTCTAGGTAATGACTCACTATTTCAGTAAAAATTATAAAAGCAGAACATGTGACAACAGCATAGAGATAAGAAACATAATATTCTATGGTTTTTATGCTAAACTCTAAGTATTATATTACCACCTTAAAGTAGACTGTTTCAAGTTAAAGATAATACTATAAAACCTGAAACAATCCTTAAAAATAACAAAAAAGATAAAATGGTACCATTAAACAAAATTCAATCCAAAAAAAGGCAGTAGAAAGTGGAAAAGGAGAAAAAACAGGTACATAAGATAAAAAACAAATGGCAAGATGACAGACTTAAACTGAACCATATCAATAACCACAATGACAGTAAATGGTCTAACCACTGCAATTAAAAGATAGACTGTCAGGTTAGATAAAAAGGAAAAACCCAATTGCTTGCTATTTACAAGAAAAGCACTTTAAATATAAAAACATAAATGAGTAAAAAGTTTAAAAATGGAAAAAGGAAAAATATATACCATGCCAACAACAGTGAAAACTGGAATAGCTGTTTTAACATCAGATAAAGTAGACTTCAGAGCAAAAAATACCATCAGAAAGAAGGAAAGTAATTTCATAATAACAAAACTGTTCACTAGTCAAGAAGCTATAACAATCCCAAGCATTTATTCTCCCAATAACAAAGCTTTAAAATATATGAAGTGGAACTGACAGAACTGCAAGAAAAAATAGATCTACAATAACTGGAAGTTTTCATTTCCTTCTATCAATAATTGATATAACAAGTAGACAAAAGAAAAAATTTTTAATACAGAAGACCTAAACAACACTATAAATCAATTTGACTTAATAGAATTTATAGACTACTCCAACCAACAGCAGCAGAAGACAGATTCTTTTCAAGTGTCCATGGAACATTTACAAGGTAGACCATGTTTTAGGCCATAAAACAAGTATCAATTAATTTGATATGCTTTAAGTCATATAAAGAATATTTTCTGAACACAAGAGAATTAACAGAGAAATCAGTAACAGAAAGATGTTTGAAAAAATCCCCCAATAATTGGAAACTAAACAACAACATGTAAGTACCAATGGGTCAAAGAAAAAATCAAAAGGGAAGTAGAAAACGTTTTGAAATGAATGAAAATGAGAAGACATCAAAATTTGTGGAATGCCACTAAAGCAGTAGTTGGGAGAAATTTATAGTACTGAAAACCTATATTAAGAAGAAAGGCCAAAAAAAAAAAAAGAAGAAAGGCCTCAGACTTCTCTGGTGGCCCAGGGGATAAGAAGCTGCCTGACAATGCAGGGAACACAGGTTCCATCTCTGGTCTGGGAAGATTCTATATGCCGTGAGGCAATTAAGCCCAAGGGCCACAACTACTGAGCCCATGGCCCAGAACTGAGTCACAACTACAAAACCCACGTGCTGCAACTGCTTAAGTTCGCTATGCTCTAGGGCCTGTGAGCTGCAATTACTGAGCCTGTGTGCTGAAACTACTGAAGTCCACACACCTGGAGCCTTTGCTCCGCAACAAGAAAAGTCACCACAAAAAGAAGCAGGCACATCCCAACAAACAGTAACCCCTGCCTGCCATTAACTAGAGAAAGCTCACTCAAAGCAACAAAGACCCAGCACAGTCAAAAATAAATTAATAAAATAAATTTTTTAAATTATATTTTAAAAATAGAAAGGCCTCTAATCACCTCATCTTCCACCTCAAGACATAAAAAAAGCATTTGACAAAATCCAAAATTCACTCCTAATATAAAACACTCTATTTTCTGTTCTAGGTTCTTTGTATTTTCACATGGAATTTATAATCACCTTATCAATTTCTTTAAAAAAAGAAAAAAGTCTCCTGGGATTTTGATTGGGATTGCATCGATTCTATACATCAGTTTGGGGAGAACCAATAATAATACTGAATCTTCTGACCCATGAACATGGTATAGCTTTAGGTTTATTTTAGGTCTGTTTATTTCTCTCAGCTGGGTCTTGCAGTTTTTAGTGTTCAAGTATTCCATACCTTTTCAAAAACTTTTAATATATTTATTCGACTGCTCTGGGTCTTAGTTGCATCATGCAAGGTCTTTTATTGCAGCATGTGGAATCTATGTCTGTGACCAGGGATCAAATCCCAGCTCCCTGTATTGGGAGCATGGAGTTTTAACCACTGGACCACCAGAGAAGTCCCAGTATTTCATATTTTTAATAGATTTGTCCTTAAGTATTATATGTATATTTTACAATATAAGTGGTATTTTAAAAGTTTCCAAATTGATTATTAGTATACAGAAATAAAATTGATTTGTGTGTATAGCTTTTATATCTAGCAATCTTACTAAATTTACTAACTAGTTCTTAAAATTTTAGCTCCCATTAGATTTATCACATACAAGATCATGTCCTTTGTGAATAAAGACAATTTTACTTCTTCCTTTCCAATCTGTATGCTTTTATTCCTTACTATAAAAAATGTAAACAGTTTTGTTGAGGTTTTTACACCCCACCCCTATAAAAAAATAGGATATGTGCTTTGATTTTAATAAAATTATAGGATTTTTAAACAAACTTACAGTGACAAAAAGCTTATCAGAGACTGACGGGGATATAGTAAAGATGAGATGGAGAAAAATATAAAGAGGTCAAGAGGAAACTTTTGGGGTTGGTTGGTGCATGTGTTCTACATCTTGACTGCAGTAATGGTTTCATGCTTGTAGTCATATACCAAACCTTATCAAGTTGCACATTTTAAATAACTGCAATTTACTATGTGACAATTATATCTCAATGAAACTATTATGAAACAAAACAAAAGAAAATGACTCAAGATTTTAGCTCAAGCTGCCCAAAGAATTGAACTATCACCAACTAGGATTGAGAAGGCTACAGAATAAGCAAATTGTGGAGCGAAAACTGAAATTCAATTTTTAAAATATTGAGTTTAAAATGTCTACTACATATACAAGTGGAGATATCAACTAAGCAAGTGGATGTGCAAGTCTAGAATTCAAGAAGTCTGAGGTGATACAAATATTGGAGTCTGGCATATAGAAGGAATATTTAAAATCAGCTATGCTTGAATGAATTGAATGAAGCAAACAGTACCCAGTAAAAATTAGTGAAATAAATAAAAGTTCTAAGCACTTTACATTATTAACTTATTTCATCTCAACAAAAACTTTATGAAACAGGATTATTTCCATTTTATAGATAAAGAAATTGAGGCATAGAGAAATGCATCCAGAGGTGGGGAAAATCATAAGTCATATATCCCCAGACTACTAACTAGTAAAATTAAGTAGCCAAAGAATTAATAAATGTAGAAACAAATTCCCAAAACCCATAACTGACATTTAGTGACCGCCCTTAAATTTTGCACATATTAAAATCAATGTAATTTACAAGTTAAAAAGACGAAAATCTGTGCTACCCAACTACTATATTTGTGTCATTTAAAAACTTTTAGAATGAAAAAGCAGCAAGTTTTAAGTCAGTTACCTCAGCTGAAGAAGAAACTGAAGGATAAAGAAGCATAAGGGATAAAGAACCTGAACTAGGATCAATACAGCCATAGAAACTATATTAAAGTCTACCAGAGGCAAAAAGAAATGTTCTACATTGGCATTTAAGGAAATGAACTAGTAAGTAAAATATTAAAAGTTCCTAGTCTAGTAAAATGTCATTTAAATTTCAAGGAAATATGTTCCCTGAATTTTAATTCTAACCTTTAAAAAAAATCTTGGAAAGGTTAAAATACTACATCAAATGCTGAAATAAAGGATATAAAATTATAGACATGAAAGGCCATTCTTTGTCATAAAAAAAAAAACTGCTGTGTTGACAATGCCTCTCAGAGTAACAGAAGACTAAACAGGTCTTTTTACAGTTTTTTTCATTAAATGCTATTATTCAACCGATGAAGTTAATTATAAAGTATAATAATTAACAAATCTAATTACCTTGAATTTATAAAACCTTGACTTACTGAAGATCTTTAATGCCTCAATGAATATGTCCAATTGTATCTAGTTCTCTGTACCTCAGTGCATTAAATTAAAAAAAAGAAAAGTTTAATAATTTTTTTCAAAGCCTTTCATCCATAATTGATCACTGGACAACCCACTCCAGTATTCTTACTGGGATAATCCCATGGACAGAGGAGCCTGGCAGGCTACAGTCAATAGGGTTGCAGAGTCAAACATGACTGAACAACCGAGCCTGCATACACACACACACACACACCAACTGTCTTCAACTCTTTACCATGAAATAAGGAAAAAGATAGTAAAGAGAAGATCAACAAGCATGTCAGTTCTCTATGTTCTGTTAAAAGACAGGAAGGAGGGGGTCTCTGTAATCCAAACTGAACAAAACATTCAGTTCATCATTAGCAAACTGGACTTTCTAATTCTGTTTGCAAAAGCTGAGTTACAATTATCTTGGCCATATTTTAAAGGGCTGAAGGAACCAATACATTTTAATAATGATCTGCTTAGAATCCAGGAGGAGAACCTCAAGTTTCCTAAAATTCATTAGGATCCTAAAAGTATATAAGGAGTTTCACTTATTCATGAGATAAGCAGTTTTCAGTAAAATTATTCACTGAAAATTTCAATGAATGTGAATGCCAACTAATTGATCAAATTTATTAATTTCTGAAAATTCTATGTCCAACTTACTCTATTTTGCTCCATTTTTACTACTTTATTTCAGGTCGCTATCAGCCCTTGCCCAAATTAGTGCAGCAGCCATTTTACCTGCCTTTATGTGTCCATCCATCCTCCACACAGTAGCATAAAAGAACTATCTAAGTGCAAAGGTAAAGTTCAAACTTTATGATTTAACCTCTTCGTGCTGTCCTGGCTTCATCCTCTACCACTACTAAATGTATGAAAGAAAGTGAAAGTCGCTCAGTCGCGTCCAACTCTTTGAGACCCCATGGACTGTATAGCCCATGGAATTCTCCAGGCCAGAATACTGGAGTGGGTAGCCTTTCCCTTCTCCAGGGGATCTTCCCAACCCAGGGATCAAACCCAGGTCTCCTGCATTGCAGGCGGATTCTCTACCAGCTGAACCACAAGGGAAGCCCAACTATATATATACTCATCCAGAATACAAACACCAAGAATGTGTGTTCTCCTATATACGCAGCCTAGATCCCAGCCATACTCAGCTACCTGCAGATCCCCTCAAGCAACAGCTGCCTATAAAGTTTCCACACGTGCTGCTTCCTCTGACTGGACTGTTCTCCCCACACCCATATTTCCTTTCACTCTGATTTATCCTGAAGTTTCATTTTAAATGCCAAGCTCTCTATGATACCGTCTTCAACTCCTCCCCTTTGAACCTCATTTGATGAGCCTTAACATCCCATATTTAGCCTTCTCCTAGCAATTCTCATTGAGTTATACTGTCTATTTACCGAATTTTCTGTCATAATATAATATAAGCTTTCCAAGGGTAAGAGATGGGTGTCTTATTCACTATGGAGTTCACAGCATCTAGTTCAATACTTGACCCACAACAAAAATGGAAAAATCTTAGTCAGTGAACATACTGTGAAAGGTACTTTTTTCATAGAGGGCACACATAGCGGTTTTGAAAATCTTAAATAACATACCTGTCTTTCCAACTCTTGTCCTGTTATGCCAGCCTCTACATGAGCTGTCAGATTGTTTTCATCAACCCAGAGGATACGATTCTGTTGCAAAAGAAGAAAGAAGTCTCATCTCCATGAATAGACACTTTCTCAGGAAATACAACTTCCTAACTCTAAGCAGCAAGTGACAAGATGGAAATGAAGTAGCAGTACCCACACTAGAAAGCCCCACTCATCCCTGCCTACACATCACAGAGCTGGTAACACAGGCAGTATAATGCACAGGAGCTGGTTTAAAACATGGACACTCATAAAAGGAGGAAGAAGGTTTCAGATTAAATGAGACTAAAAGAAACCACCAAAATCTAACGTGAATCCCTATTCATACACTGAACTATAAAATAAAGACAGTTTTGAGATAACTGGAAAATGAATGTGGACTGGATACTAAATGACATAATTACTTTTAATTTTGTCAGAAGGGATAACATAGTGAGAAAATGTCCTTTTAAAAAGAAATACACAGAAATACTTGGTGTAAAGTAGTATGCCATCAGGATTTCCTTTAAAAATATTAGAGGAAAAAAGATAAAAGTCAGTATGACAAAATGTAAATAATTATTTAGAGACTAGAAATATTATTCTCTCAACTGTGATGCTTAAAAATTTCAATAAAATCATAAATATTAAAATTTTTTTATAATAAAGGATTATAGAAGCAGGAGTACTGTTGACTATATGAAGATCAAGTTCATACCCAAACTAAAACTTTAAAATAGCACAAGGGCCAACTCTCAGACCATAATAAACCAAAATTTCAAAAAATAATCCTAAAATTTATTAGTTCCTTTACTAATTTTAAGTTAATCTTAAAATTAATTAGCTCCTCTGTTCTTCCAAAAGCAAAGTGCAGTAGCATTAGTAAAAATTTGGGAAACAAGTAAGTTCTGATGACTCAAATTAACATTAACTAATATTATTTGTTTTTTAATAATACAAATCAGGTCATCTATTGTATCACAATTCAATCCATGCTTCTCAAATTGTCAATTTTATACGTTAATTTGGTAGAATTCATCAAGGTATATGACTAAGTAAGAGTGACCTTAGCTTTCAGAGATCTGAAAGCAAAGGTAAAATATAATGATGAAAAAAAATTTAAACAAAATGGACAATATACCTTTTTAAAAACAACTAAGATTGAGCCATAAAGAAAACTTTTAAAACCAAACACTATCTTCAAACACATCTTAAGTTATCATATACCATTTGTGAAGTGTCTAAAGAAATAATTGTTCTTGTCTCATCTGCAGGACACATCAGGCCACATGAAACACTTGTTCCTCCTGCCAAAATAGAAGACAATAACTATGCTTAAATATTATTTTTTAGCTACATATCTAGGCAAATCCCTAATACAAAGTATACAAATAGGCCCACTAGGAAAAATACCTATCTCTACTTTGCAAAATGTAATTGGCAAATACTAACACACTAAAAGTAAACTCACCTTTATTTTATGGTGCGTGCCAAAATGAAGAAATATTATGGAGCTGAAAGTAATGGGACATGGCTCCATCCCTTGGGCACACTCGAATGAAGCCCCTAACAATTTGTGAAGCTCCAGAAACATAATTAGAGAAGTTCTAAGCTAATGATTACTGTGGAGAGACAGCATAAAAAAAAAAAAATACCCATCCTATACAACTAGAGACACCATTTTCTCCTATCATATTTATGAGATTCACTTATCTTTAAAATACTATCTTATATTTCCATACAAAAAGACCTCAATAAATTAGAATATATTCCTTAACATTTGTTGTCAAAGGAAAAATGCTTTCTTGATATATAGAACAATACAGTATTCTCAATTCTTAACCAGATCTGTATAATCATATAGCAGAATAAAATTTTAATTGGTACTTTCATATGTTTTGGACAGAATACACATGGAAATCATCTTGGTAAGTCACAAGGTAAGAATTATAGGGGGTATTTACCTACGAGGTTCAGCTTAATTTTTCAAGGTATGATAATATTAAGAACATGGCTATGACCAGTGACCACTATTTCTTGTCAAAGTCATTTGAAATCAGAAAACTATTTCATTAAAAGTGGCACTGTAATGCCTTTTGTACATGATTTCAACAGGAAGTATAAGCTGAAGAAGTTGTCTGGAACTTATGATGTGTAGGGGTCCCATTTCCATTCCATTAATGCCAACTCAGTCAGTGAAGGCAACCTCCTTTGGCTTGTGGAAGTTGTTAAAACAATATGGTTGATGAATGATCAAAAGAGATTAAATTTGCCTTAAAATGTAAAATAATGTTAATTTTCAGTATTAAAAGATACTATTCATTTGGTCATCACTGTCCTGGTTGATCTTTTACATATGCATATCCCTCCTCAAAGATTTACGTTGGGTATAGTTAGTCTGTGAAAAAATAATACTCTCTCCATTAAGATAAAGGTTAGAAAGTAATTACTAAAGAAGGAACTCTTATCTAGGCAGTAAGTCAGAGCTTCAGAATCCATATGGGAAAGAAGCCATGAGCTAGGGTAAATCATATCTCAAACAGTTTAGGTAGATCTACTGAGAACAGAAATGAACAGCATAAGCCAATTTTTCAGGATAACCATATCACAACTATAAGAATGCTTCTTTTCAGTGGGAATGCACAAATATTTAAAATAGAACAACTTTACATCACATTAAAATTCAAAAGGCACAATACCTACCACCAATTGGTATGATACAAAGGTTATATTTGCACGCTAGATTCACAATCTTAACTACATCATCATGACATGCTGTTGAAAAAAGGGAAAATAAATTAATCCCGAACATGAAAAAAATCTGGGTAATACTGCAATACAAGGGTCTAAAGTGCAATACAACTTCTTCTTCATTTATTCACTCATGAACACATTAAATCACTATCCTAAAACTATTTTTATCTTTAACTTTTCATTTTTAAATAATTTTATACATTTTTCAGTTTAAATATCTACACAGCATACACACATACACAATATATGGTTCGTAGATATTCAAACTGCAAGATGAGCAAGGCACCTCCACTGTATGGAATACCACATTGTCTCAAATTGCCTTACTGCCTCAAAACTTGCCCTCATGCAAAGAAAAACTTGAACTTTATTGCCCAATGGAAACTTACATTAAAGTTTAACAAAGACCTCAGTGAAATGACAACATGTTGTGAAACAAACTATTTCCAAGAAGTTCTTATACTGAAAGAGTCAATAGAACAAAATTTTGATTTAGGCACCAATACACTACTCAAACAGATTATTTTCTTCCTGGGTATGTCAACCTCCTTCCTATCACAAAATTAAAGCAGGACTTTTCCCTCAGATACTCCCTGAAAAGGAAAAAGATCACATCTAAGAACTAAAAGTCCATATACGAGGTAATTTTTTGAAAAATAAAACACTCTATATACTCCTTTTATGGAGTCTGAAGAGAAAAATGGATGAGAAGATTAGCAGAACTTCTTACAAGGTAATTATGGACAGTAAGGAGCAATATACTTATTCTGCTTTAAATTTTCTGCTACAAGAGATGGATATAAAGATCATACATAAAAATATAGGATCTAGTCATCAGTAAGAGCAAAATAACAGCAGAAAGCTCATCTACCTTCCATCTCAAGTCAAATCCCTAAATGAAATTATTTTCTCAAAATTTAGTTATTTATATCAAAGACAGTATCTATATTAAACAACTTGCTTCATTATTTGAACACCATTAGTTTTTAGCCTACAAGTTGCTATCAACAAAGTACTCTTATTAGTTTGCAGTAATCAATTATCTTAACTAAAAGTTTCTAGGCATCTGAATATATCATTGATTGATAATAATTTTATTAAGCTTTCAAATTAGCCAAAAATATATTTTTCTACTGACTTCTTAAAAGGATATGTACATATTAAATGAAGATCCAGTCATCCATCAACAACAAAATTAATCATTAAAACCATTCAAAATGATCATATTAAGAATTATATGATCTTCAGTAAACTCTAAAAATATAGCTATATAGCTATATTTCTATATATGTATCTATATAGCTATATATCTATATAGCTATCTAAAACATAGCTTTCTATATTTTTTTACAGCTCTTATGTTTAAAAGTACATATTTCCAACACTAAATTTACTTAAAATTTAACAATACTAAATTAATAATACAAAGAAAAACAGGAACTTACTTGGCCATAAAACTATATCAGGAATTCTCTGAAACATTCCTTCCCTGAGCAAAAATATCTCATGAAGACAATGACCTGTTTTGTGGTTTAAAAAAGAAAATGTAAAAATATCTTAAAATTAAAGGAAATTTAAAACTTAGAACTAAATAGGATTTATATGAAGTTGCTTACCATGAGCTCTAAATACTCGATCATCTGCTTCTTGTGAATATGAAATATTAGTTTCTTTAAGGTCATGAAGAAAATCTTCATTTACAATAGAAGGAGGTGTATCACTAGGATTTAAGGATGCCTAGAAAATAAAATTGTTTTTTTTTACTTATTTCTAGAAAATAAAAATTTGAAATGTTACGGAGAAGTGACTATAAAACATGGATTTTTTTTTTTTACATCTGAACTAGGACAGAAGCATAGAAAAATAATAAATAATACATATGGAAACCAACTCTGTGACAGTAACCAATTACAAATGGTCTGAAAAACCACATTCTGTAACATAAGTTATAAGACTCTTATGTTTTCTCTTTTACTTCTATGTCCCATCTTTTCATTATTTCTAAAGTCTACAATTAAGGGGACTTCCCTGGCAGTCCAGTGGTTAAGACTTCATGCTTTCACTGCAAGGGGCATAGGTTCAATCCTTGATCAGAGAACTAATAAGTAAGATCCCCTATGCCACATGGTGTGGCCAAAAACAAATATAATAAAAATAAAGATCACAATTAAGATAGCAAAGTCTAAAATCTTCAATTTTAAACTAGGGAGACTGGGATATAGATAGTTAACTTCTGCATTATCTATATTTCATCTGTAGATAAAATTTATCATTTCAGAATGATCAGCAAAAAGCCTCCCAATAAGAAGTAAATCCATTTTTATAGGCTCTCTTTAAAACTCACAACATAAACCTGATACTTAATTTCAACTAACAAGTATTCAACTTTAAAGCTATGTGGCACTGGCTCACCCAACTTCTTTGAGCCTTGGTTTCTTCAATTATTAAATGAGATTATCGCCATCAAATTTATACAACTGCCATAAGGAAGGAGAGTTAAATATGGTAATTTTTGTGAAAAGCACCTATTATCATGACTAGCATATAGGAAGAGTTCTATAAATGGCTAACCAAATCAAATCTGTTATGTTAAAAAAGCTATGGTATAGTATTCAGAAAAAATAAAATATAAGAATATGTAAAGAAAAATATTTACATAGCCTTTAAATATCTTATTAATGTTCTATATTTAATGTTCAATTATATAATAAATATTTCTTGCACGTGTGCTATAGGGCCCTGGTGATACAGCAGTGAGTTAAACCCCCAAAATTTTAAAACTCTTGTCCTCATGGGATTAACCTGCAGTGAAAAGAAATGACCAAAAGAACTCTGATGAAACATACAGATTACTAATTTTGTTAAGTTACTGGACATTGAAATGGCCTAAAACAGAAAAAAAGAAGTGCATGTAAAACTAGTAAAATTTCTGAATATGACATATAGATTGTATCAGTGTCAAAAAAAAAAGTAAAACAAATAGTCAAAACACAGAAAGAGAAGATGGTTATTTTGAGATATTAGTCTGCCATCAGTTAGTCAGCTCTCTTAATAAAGTCGCATTTGTTGCCTCAAAAAAAAAGGAAATAGAAGAGATTTTTTTTTCAGTGTCTATAATCAATTTTATTTTAATATAATCTAAACACATACCATTTGGAAAATACCAAGAAAATTTTATGTACAAGAGTTGATGCTATTGCATTTGGATAAAGCTGGCAAGTTCTTGCTACTAGCATAGCCAAGGAAACACCACCGAGGAAGCCCACCACCGAGGAAGCCTAATATATTGGAATAGATGTTGTGGCGTTTGGCCCACAGTTTGATAGCTCTCAGGGTTAAGGTGAAGTTGTCAATGTTTGGTACTAGATGTAAAATTTCATCGGTTACCCTGCAACTGTTAAGGCTTCTTATACATCTTATATCTAAATTTTTAAGCAGACTATCATCTCTTAAGTCCAAGTCTTCTGGAATAGTCTGCAGTGCTAATCTTGCAAACAAAATATCAATCTCTACCCCATCAAAACACAGTTTTATAACTGGTACAAATGCCTCTTCAACAGCTCTTAAATCTTTTACTTCTTCCTGTAATTTCAACTTATCACAGAATGAAGTGAAAAAATCACTCCAATCAACATGTCTGTGCAACACACAATGCATCAATATCAGCACCTTTTGTATGTACTCCTAATCTATAAGATCCAAATGTAAAAATTTTCCCACCAACATTTTCAATTACAGATTGTGGAAGATTCTTGCTTTCACTGATTTCTCATATCCACTCTTTTACCAGGTTATTTAATTTTCCCAAAATTAAAATCCTGCGCTGCAGTTCCTCTTCCTCTTCAGAAACCCCAAAGGGCTTCAGAGTCTCAACTAGCTTCTTCGCGAGTAGGCAGTCAGTCTCCTTGGGGGCTGCTAAGCTGATGGGAGAAGTAATGCCATAGTGCTTCTGTGGTGGCAGTGTTTGCTGTGATCCCTGTGTTGGAACTGGAAACAGGCATCATCTCCTGCGCCGGCACCGCCCCGGTCACTCCCTCCAACCTCCGGGGCTGCCGGGCGGGCTGCTACAGGCCGGGGCAGGATCCACTGAGGCGGAGGCAGGGGGCGGGGGCCTGCCATAGCCTTGAGGCCTACCCCACTCCCTCCGCTGTAAGCCTTCTCCTCCTTCCCCTTCGTCCTAACACGGTGCCGAGCAACCACAGCAACGTTAAAAGAGATTTTTTTAAAGAAATGTTAAAAGAATTTGGTTTGGGAGAGGTAGGAATTAGATGTTTAGTCTAATTAAGTACAAGAATAAAATGTAACTGTGGACTTATAAATAAAACAAGCACTCACTGAATACCTACAGTCCTCAATAATATGTTGAATATAGTGGATAATATACTATAAATCATAGCCTCTGCACTTATGGAAGTTATACACAAAGGGATATACAGAATACTATACCATAGTAAAAAATAATAAATATTATAATTATATAAACAAATGCTATTTCATCAGCTTAATACAGTTTAAAGGTTTTTAACTCCCCTGTCAGAAAAGTGATACTACAAGAGCAAACTAAAATTCTCTATCACTCATATCTTAATCAAAATTCTATTTTCAATCTTTGAATATTCTAAATGTTTTGATAGTAATATAATATTACATTTTTATTTTAAATTATTCTATATAAATCCTAGATTACTGTCAGTTCATTACAAAATGTAAAAATAACAGCAACATGTTTTGGTAACAAAGTGCTCTCACAGAATTAATTCATTTGAACTTCACTACTACTTGTGACACATAGAACTGACACTTATGACTCTCATTTCTCCTATTAAGATAACTGAGGCTAACAGAGTTTAAATGCTGAGATTAGGCTCTAGACCTGTGATGCTAAAAAACAACAAAAAAACCCCACCCCTAGAAAGTCTAACAAGGCCAATCAAACCAACAAAAAGAAGGAAAAATATATTAAAGCAACTATAACAAATTATAAAGATAAGTTTAATTAATTTGGGATTAAGCACATATATACACACTCAATTAAGAATATTATTAGTTGTTTTCATTTGCTTACTTTAGAGGTAGTTTTATGCTCCACACTTATTCCAAGGGTATTTTGGATCCACTCTCTAAAAGTTGGCAATGACATGCCACTAAGAGGGTACCTAAGGTAAAAAGAAGCAAAACATTAGAGAAAAGTATCTTCATGTCAATTCAAATCTTAGATTCTGTTTCTAGCAGAGGTCAAGTGGTTGCTATCAAACCAACCCTCCCACATATAATGATAAGCTCTGGACAAAAAAAAAAAAAAAAACTAATTATTTGAGGACAGTACAGATAACCCAATGATAGGCAAAAATAGGGGGTAAGAAGAAAACAGCACCACAGAAGTTTCCAGTTTCACAGGGTTTAGCCTAAGGGAGAGTCCCAGTACACAGAGCACCACAGAAAGAATAAAGAATGCAAGAATGCAAAAACCCTGCAGCATTCCTGGCTTAAGGAAACATGATGGTGTCTGCAGTGAACACAGCATCTGGGAAGGGCACAGTGAAATCACACAAATCCAGGAGTTAGAGGGGGACTTGTATATAAACTCTGTCCAAATGTCCTGCTGACCTTGAGTAACAAGTATATGGAGCACACTCTAAGCAGCCCAGTTAATCTTAAAAGAACTGAATACATAATTCAGCTGCTCACCATCACAGAAGTAAACCTGAGTCAATTGCTTGGTTTAAAGCAAGTCAATTGCTTGGTTTAAAAAAAAAAAAAAAAAGCCTTTTCAGACAAATGTAACAGAATACAGACTTTCCTCAACATATCAGTAACAATGTCCAAGATATGCTTTCAAAATTATTAGACATAAACAACCAACAAAGTGTTATCCATAATTAAGAGAAAAGGCAATCAATAAGAAACCCCAAGGTGATCCAAAATATTGGAAATAGCACACAAGGATTTGAAAACAGCTATAAACACACTAAAGGACAAAAGGGAAAATATGTTAGCAGTGAATAAGAGAAAATAAATCTCAGCAAGAAATAGAAATTATTTTAAAAAACAGAAATTCTATAATTAAATTGAAATAAAAATTCATTGGAGGAACTCAAGAACAGACCAGAGATGTCAGTGAACTTATAGTTAGAGCAATAAAACATATATAATCTAAACAACAAAGAAAATAGAAAAAGATAAATGGAGCTGCACGGACCTGTGGAACAATAGAAAAATACTAACATATATATAAATGGAGTCCCAAGAACAAGAGGAAAAGGAATTTAAAAAAAAGTATTTGAAGAAATAATAACAAAGTTTTCAAATCTGATGAAAGATGTAAGTTTAGAAATTACAGAAAGTCAGAGAACTCTAGAAGATAAATGCAAAGGCACATCACAGTCAAATTGCAACTTAAAAAACAAAGAGAAAAAGAGAAAGACATCTTAAAAGTATCTATAGAAAAATGACATACTACACATAATGTAATAATAATGTTATGACTGACTTCTCATCAGAAAGTCCAGAAAAAAAAAAAAAAGTCCAGAAAACTACTGAACAACATTTTTCAAGTGCTGAAAGGAAAAGAATGCCAACTTAGAATTTTATATCTGGTAAAAGGTATCCTTCAAGAACAAAAGTAAAACAAAGAGCTCTTCAGATGAAAACTAAAGAGAACTAAGAGCCAGCACACCTACACTACAAGAAATGCCAGAGGAACTTGTACAGGCTGAAGGGAAGTATAACACTAAATGTACTGTCTTCACAATGGAATAAGTAATGACTGAAAGAGTAAATATGTGAGCAAATATAATTGACTATTCTTGATTTCTTTAAAATGTGTATTACTTTTAAAAATTACAATACTGTATGATAAAGTGATAGAACTATAAATCATATCATGATGTGATAACCACAAACAGAACAGGGAATAGTAAATAAACCATATTTGCAAGGTGCTGGTATTTTACATAAAGTGCTACAAAACATTTAAAACACACAAAAGAACTCTACAGAGCAGGAACAATATGAAAAAAAAATAGATCTGCTACTCAAATTTTGTTTCCTCTTATCTTCTAACCCAAATTCTATTTAAGTTTATATGAATCATGAACATTATTTCACATACACAAAGAAGTCCTAAACTGTATCTATATGAGACTGATGCAGAAAACTCAAGTGCTTAGAGGGGTAACTTTTCAGTTTTAGAAATATTTATCAGAGATGGCAAAATATTAAGTGCTAGAAAGAAAGAGATAAATATCCACCATCCAGTCTCAGGGTTAGGGTTAGGTTTAGGGGTCAGTGGTTGGGGTTAGGATTAGGGTAGTAAAGAAGGCTGATGTGCAAACATAATATTCCAATGTGTTATAAAGCAGTAATAAAATAACCCTCAGAACAAATCAAAACAAATTTTAAAACATTTACTTTAAAATGGTCAATTTTCATTTTAGTAAACAGGTATTATCATGTGCCAGGTATTGTTTTAAGTTTGTTACGTATATTAACTTATGATAATGTTATGAAGTTGATATTACTCCATTTTATAAAAAAAAAAGACACTAAGGCACAGAGACGTTACATAACTTAAGAGCTTAGGTAAAGTTAATTAACTTACTTAAGGTCACACAGCTAGTAAGCTACAAAACCAGGATATGAACCAGGTAATAAACAAGGGCAAATAAGTAATAAATAAGCCTGTGCTCTTCACTGCTACATGGTACTGCCTCTAGTTTGATTCTTTCTTACCATCATTCCAAGTGAGATCATTGGGATGATCTCATAAAATTCTTTTTTAATGAATATTTAGAAAAATCACAGTAGTTATATTTAGTAATTGTTTTCACTATAATGTTCTTACAACTTCTCCACTTCTAATATCCACTCCATGATGATGGGGCAGCCAAATAAAACTATACCATAGCTGTTTTATCTTTAATTTTATAAATATTTTACTTATAAAATATTGAAGTGTAACATACATACAAAAAATAACTATATAGCTTTTAGCAACTAGCCTCAGAAGTTTACTCTGACTTCACAAAGATGACCAAAAAGCGGGGAGGGAAGGAGTCAGTGGGTAATACATAAACTCTGTACTGAATATATGTTTATAATGCAGAACTCAATACTGAAAAAGCCAGGGGTGGGTCCTATCAAAAAGAATTTTCACTTGGAAGTGACAAAAAAAAAAAAACACTTATTCTGTCACATAATTTTAAAAGTTACACATTGGCTGAGTGAATGTCACTTATGATAATGTCATATTATATAATAAAAATATCTAAAATTCTCAAATAAATCTTATATAAAGGTTAGCAAATTAGAATCTAGTTTAATCAACCCTACAAAGACATTTAATTTGAAAGCTGAACACATGAGCAGGAAAAATGCAACTTCTATCAGAAAGCCAAAAGTTCATATCAATTGTTGAAACAAGGTGATTCTTTACTAGATCTTTCAGTTCAGTTCAATAGCTCAGTCGTGTCCGACTTTTTGTGACCCCATGGACTGCAGCACATCAGGCTTCCCTGTCCATCACCAACTCCTGGATCTTGCTAAAACTCAGGTCCATCAAGTTAAGTGATGCCATCCAACCTTTTCATCCTCTGTTTTCTCCTTCTCCTCCTGCCTTTAATCTTTCCCAACATCAAGGTCTTTTCAAAATGAGTCAGTTCTTCGCATCAGGTAGCTAAAGTATTGAAGTCTCAGCTTCAGCATCAGTCCTTCCAATGAATATTCAGGATTAATTCCCTTTAGGATGGACTGGCTGGATCTCCTTGCAGTCCAAGGGACTCTCAAAAGTCTTCTCCAACACCACAGTTCAAAAGCATCAATTCTTCAGTGCTCAGCTTTCTTTATAGTCCAACTCTCACATCCATACATGACCACTGGAAAATCCATAGCTTTAACTAGATGGATCTTTTTCGGCAAAGTAATGTCTCTGGTTTTTAATATGCTATCTAGGTTGGTCATAGCTTTTCTTCCAAGGAGCAGGCATCTTTTAATTTCATGGCTGCAGTCACCATCTGCAGTGATTTTGGAGCCCAAGAATAAAGCCTGTCACTGTTTCCATTGTTTCCCCATCTATTTGCCATGAAGTGATGGGACCAGATGCCATGATCTTCATTTTTTGGATGTTGAGTTTTATGCCAGATTTTTCACTCTCCTCTCTCACCTTCATAAAGAGGCTCTTTATTTAGTACCTCTTCACTTTCTGCCATAAGGGTGGTGTCATCTGCATACCTGAAGTTATTAATATTTTTCCTGGCAATCTTGATTCCAGCTTGTGCTTCATCCAGACTGGCATTTCACATGACGTACTCTGCATACAAGTTAAATATACAAGGTGACAATATACAGCCTTGACAGACTCCTTTCTCAATTTGGAACCAGTCCATTGTTCCATGTCTGGTTCTAACTGTTGCTTCTTGACCTTCATACAGGTTTCTCAGGAAGTGGGCAAGGCTGTCTGGTATTCCCATCTCTTTAAGAATTTTCCACAGTTTGTTATGATCCACACAGTCAAAGGCTTTAGTGTACTCAATGAAGCAGAAGTAGATGTTTTTCTAATTCTCTTGCTTTCTCTATGATCCAACAGATGTTGGCAATTTGATCTCTGGTTCCTCTGCCTTTTCTAAATACAGCTTGAACATCTGGAAGTCCTCAGTTCATATACTGTTGAAGCCAAGCTTGGAGAATTTTGAGCATTACTTTGCTAAAATGTAAGATGAGTGCAATTGTGCAGTAGTTTGAACATTCTTTGGCATTGCCTTTCTTTGGGATTGGAATGAAAACTAATCTTTTCCATTCCTGTGGCCACTGCTCAGTTTTCCAAATTTGCTGGCATATTGAGTGCAGCATTTTCACAGCATCATCTTTTAGGATTTGAAATAGCTCAACTGGAATTCCATCACTGCCACTAGCTTTGTTCATAGTCATGTTTCCTAAGGTCCACTTGATTTTACACTCCAGGATATCTGGCTCTAGGTGAGTGATCACATCAACATGGTTTTCTGGGTCATTATCTTTTTTGTATAGTTCTTCTGTGTACTCTTGCCACCTTTTCTTAATATCTTCTGCTTCTGTTAGGTCCATACCATTTCTGTTGTTCACTGTGCCCATCTTTGTATGAAATATTTCCGTGGTATCTCTAATTCTCTTGAAGAGATCTCTAGTCTTCCGCATTCCATTATTTTCTTCTATTTCTATGCACTGATCACTTGGGAAGGCTTTCTTATCTCTCGTTGCTATTCTTTGAAACTATGCATTCAGAATAGATCTTTACCATGACTGAAAATTGGTTTGAAAACTTTAAGAAATGGTTTTTGTTGTAAAATATAAGGGGAGATCAATTTATCACCTTTTCTTAAGATCAAAGTAGACTATATTATAAAAGATACAGAACCAGAGCAAACTTTCACGACTAATGAAATCATTCTGTAATGGAAAGAAAACCCTGTGGACATAAATATCCAAGAAAGAAGTGCACATCAAGATTTAATGTGACTACACTGGCTTGAGATTTAATAATTCTCTCTACTATTTGACTTTCCCTCTGAGGCCTCTCACATGTGAATACTGAGCCCACAATTAACAGTGATTTTGTTGTTTTTTTCCCTTCTACTCAAAGTTAAAACTGACCAAAGTTATTGGCTTTTTACTTTGCTAGAACAAACTATCTTATGTTTACATACTGGTTTAAATTGTTATTTATGTGCAAATTGTCAAAATGTAAATTAAATATAAATGTTCATGCTTTAGAAAAAACAAAAGATTTAATGTGACTAAAGACCAAGTAACTCTCACTCTGGGGCAGTGCAGAAAGGCAGCAGAATATTAGTAGATGCAACCATCTATCCTGAGACTTAGAGTTCCACAACTGCTAACCAATTTTAAAACCTTTTATAATGAAATAAAAGTTTTAAAAATTATGCTACTGAAAATACAAAGTGCAGGAAACCCAAACAAATTCTCTCTATTTAATCACTAACTTATGCTTTGAAAGCTCCAATTAATGTATAAACCACCTTTAAAGTCAAAGAATAATGACACCTTTCAAAATTTTTAGTTTACAGAAATCTATAGCATTAGCTCTGAAGTATTGCCTTCTGCTACTTAGGAGGACTCAATTCATCTACATCTAGAAATAATAAGAATGGCAAGATTATAAATCTACAGGATTATAAACTGTCAAGTTACAAATCTGTTCAGAAAACAGACTGTGTTCAGGGAAAATCTTATTTTCCCCTGACATCTATGAAAGCTTATAATTGCTTCTAAATTAATGGCTGGGTTTGAAATGCCAAAGTTAACCTCCCCAAAATATATACAGACAACCAACCACATTAACTCATAAAAATTTTCTACCTTTTTAATGTTCTTTGGATCAAAAATAGGGGAACCCCTATAAATTTTCATTGGGAGTCACTCAGTTTCTGGCACCTATGGATTCCCCTTTCTTTCCAGCTCTGTTATCTTTCTTTCCTGTGGTATTTTATCCATGTTTTCTATGTGGTTACAGAAGACAACCCTGGAGAAAGAAATGGCAACCCACTCCAGTACTCTTGCCTGGAAGATTCCATGGACGGAGAACCTGGTAGGCTAGAATCCATGGGGTCGCAGAGTTGGATACGACTGAGCGACTTCAGTTACTTACTTATAGAAGGCAAAGGGTCAGTCCACTACAGTGCCAGAATAAAAGTCTTCACAAAGAATTTTAAAAACTGGCCTTACAATCTAATATTATTAATACAAAATGGTGAATTGATACTGTTGATACTCAATCTTTCCAGTCAGAAATTTCGTTTTCTCTTTTAGGTATATCACAACCTTCTTATGCTTATGCCCTTTACCCCCTCTCTGGAACAATAGGAACTTTAGTCATAGAATATCTTTTTACAATATGACTAACTCTACTGTAGCAGTGTATAGAGTGTAGAAGGCTCCTGTAAAGTGATTCCAGAGACTGTTAAGAGAATAAAATCAATACAATGGATAGTATGATACCTCATTAGCACAGTGTAACAGAAACAGTACAAGAATGAACCTTAAAAGCACTTCAGTTTTAGTCACAATTTCCCACTGCACAGGTGACCTCAAGTAAGGTGTTTAACCTCCCTGATTCTCAATCTCCTGATTATTTCTAAGAATACATCACTACCCACTTAGGGTTATTTTAAGATAACTCAATAGGAACTCAATAAATAATAGCTATTATTATCTTAAAGAACATTTGTGTTTTCTAATAAAAAAAAATTAACCATTATCCCAAGGAGACTAGAGAAAGCTACGATTTAATTCAATCCAGTTTATTATTCTGTCTGTGCTAAAGTAATGGTACACCAAAATGGGAATTGAGTATTATTTAGTTATTTGGTTTTAGTTATTAAATAATTTAGGTAGTACATATTTAACCCTAGAGCATTTAAATTCCATCTTCATGTTCACAGAATTACCCTTTGGATAGTGGGTAACTCAGTGAGAAGCAAAGGTTACCTGTGCAGGCTCTGCCAGTCAGATGTACCTTGTTTTCTTCCCTTCTCCCTCAATGGACTTGGACTCAGGAGTCAACAGTGCAAAAGAAATGAAGCCTTTATGGAATGCATTCTGGTTGGAAGGGCAGCAGCACTCTTCCAAAATCCAAAGTCAACAGAAGAATTCTCTAATTCTACTACAACCTGGACAAAAATTTCTCTCATGACGACTGAATTCCCTCTGCTTTGAATTTATGCTCTCCAAACAATATATAAATTACAAATTTTGCTTTCTATGTATCTTAATATCAGAAAGGGCAATAACAAGCATTCTACACCATGAAAAAGAAATAATCCAATCATAAATGAATACACCAGGGTTCTAATTTTTTTTCTAATATCTTATGAGTGTTGCACATATGCCGGCTACCCACAATCTGATCCTTTCTGGAAAAACTGGCAAGTCAAGTGTCAGAACACCCAAAATAAAAGCCAGATTCCAAACTGTGGGTACACGGTTCATACAGTAAGGTATAAATAGCTGTGACACTTTCTGTGATTAATCATTCACTTAACATACATACACTGCTAACATAAACCACTACAAAGCCACACTACTCCACAGAAGACAGGAGGTTTATGCTTTCAGTGGCACTGGGCACAAAGTTCCTATTGCCCCTCACATAGAGCGAAGATGGTATGCCTTCAACATCCAAAGACAGAGAAATGAAGGTAGTATCTGAGAAGAGAGGAAGTTGGTTTTTCTAAGTTGAAAAGATTCACTTTTTCCCCCCTGAAGATTTTGTAAAGCCATCTCTACATGACAAGTTTTTACTGTGTTAGACATTATTCTACTGAAAATATAAACACCTGATCTTTAGATCCTGATTCAAAATACCTATAAAATGACACATTTGAGACAGTTAGAGAAAGGGAATGTGAAATGGATAACTAGATATTGTAAAATTTCTGTTATATTGAGGAGTATGATAATAGTATTATATAATTGGTTTTAAGGGATATATATACAAATACATAGAAGGGACATGACAATGTCAGAATTTGATACACAAAAGAAAAAGAAAAGCACTTATTACAAAATATTAGTGACTTCTAATCTAGGAATAAGCCATTATATTATCCTCTCTATTTTTATGTATGTCTATTATTTAATGTTATATTTTTTATTTATGTTTAAAATTTTTCATAGAAAGATAAGTAAAAGGAACAAAACAAAGAATAAACCAAAGTTACCTTTTCCCAGTCAACTCAATTTGTCCTTTCTTGTTGAAGATGAACTTGGAATCATTATATCCCCATCCATTCCATTTCATAACTTCTTGCCTAGTAAGCAGAAAAATACATGAGATCTATGCTAAACATCTCAAAACTGAACAGTGCATCACTGACTATTAACTTTCACAATCATTTAACAGAAGACCTTATTCTACTAATATTATGTTGCCTTAAACAAAACAAATATATTAAAAATGCCTGTGCATGAATATTTCTATATACAGAATCACTGATGGGCAGCACCTGCTTCCTAAAGAGCTACAGCCACTAAATTTAATGCATAAAAAGCAAAAAGGAAGAAAGAACAATGGAAAATAATTTCTAAGAGTACACATATGCTTCATTTTGTACATGTTATTGAGCTTGCATTATATAATGGCCTGTATGTAACTTCCCGTTCAAATTTCACTTGAACAGGAAACAAATTTCTGCATAAATTAGAAAAATCACTATTATTAATCTTCTGTTAGAATAAAAAATACCAATTTACAAAGTCATTTTCATCAAAATCAATGACTCACCCATCCAATTTTACACATTACAAAAGAATTAGACAGGCCTGGACCCATGTAGAACACAGTAAGCAAACACACTGAAGTGCTACATCAGCATTTAATACATATTTTAGCATGGTACCGTAGTATACTCGGGTCACTGAAATAAACTAATGGTGAATCTTCTTATTGCAAATTCAGTGATGCACTTTATGATGAAAATAGCTGAAGAAAACTCTTGTCTATGAATAAAGTTATTTGCTTCATTAAAATTTCAAAATACATCACAGGAAAAAACCTATGTGTGATGATGAACGTTAACTAGATTTATTATGGTGATAAATTCACAATATACACAAATACTGAAACACTACGTTGTGCACCTAAAACCAGTATAATGTTACTTGTCAGTTTCACTTCAATTTTTTTTAAATTTCAAAATAAACAAAGATGTACTATTAAAGAGTATCCTAATTCTCCATAATTCTCAAGGAAGAAAATGACAGCTGACAAGCAAATCTTTTATTATAATCATAATTCTTTTCCTAATTCAAAGGCTTTTCAAACAAGTAGAATGCTAACACAATACAACTGAATGAAATACAGTCATTAATAGTGTAATGAAATTCCTGTCTATACATAAAATTAAGAAAAGAAGCTAGGAATGCTGTCTTTAAAATTATAACTGTTATCAATAAAAACTATAGTCACTATACAAAAACAAACTGTTCAAAAACATGTTTTGATTTTCAAAAACATCTTAAACAGTATCAAATCCAGAAATTAGATTTGCAGATGTGCCTGTTATAAACTATCACTCAATATTTTCTTCTTATTTCACAATTCTACCCCACTGTAAAGAGAGGTTTTTCAAGAGAGCTTTTAGAAAAAAATCTCTACAGAAAGATCTCATGACTACCATCATATGACTAATACATACTGGTTCTCTTAAGTTTATACAATGTAAAAACAGATTAGGTAATCATCCACTTTGCCTTTTTTAATGATTGTATTCTCTTCACTTTTATGAATATAACTTAGCTAGTATTTTTGTATTTCCATAAGAGAATACAGAGATTTTTAGCTAACATCTTTACTTAATATTTTATAATGTATGCATAAATTTTTATATATGAAATGATTATTTTATTAATGAATTTAAACATTTGTCAGGAAGTCTTCATGCTATAAAACAGTGGTTTGGTATTACACAAAATAAATGCAAAAAGAGCAATATAGTCATTTTGCCTTGATATTATAACCATTAGCCATGGGAAATTATTTTACTACAGATGATGGATTTGGCATGTTAACACAGCTTAACAATAAACATCATTTTCCTTAAAAATTATACTTAGAATTTTAAAAAATTATCCCCAGATGGCCTCAAAGTAAAAAGCTAAATGTGATTACACGTGTTCATTCTTAATACTTCACAAGAAAAACGAATCAAGGTAAGCAGGAAATATCTGCTGCTGTATACTGAAAAATGAAGACATACTCAAGATTCTAGAAATGAAATTTTCAGTTGGGTAATATCCTAAAGAACTTCCAAGGTTTCAACTATAGGCTAAGGTAACTTTTTCTCTTTTTTCATTTCAATCAGAAATTCTACCTATGATATAGGACTACCATATTCATACCAATTTTTGGAGGCTTCCCAGAAGTTGAAATAAAGGCATCTGTAATGCATTTGTGCCTTAAAAAATAAATAAATAAATACAAGCCTATGTTGCTTAAATACTATATAATTAAAATCTATGTTAGCTCAAAACCAATCTTCTATTATTTTCAAAGTATCCCACATGTTAAATAAAAAGTAGGCAAATTTCCTAGGCTTCTGGTTTAAAACTTTTATACATATGTCCTTTCAAATGATTAATATTTCCTAAGACACACACAACTACGTGATTACCTTAAACTTTAAACTAACTTCTTATATAGAAGAATGTAATGAGTACACCAAAGGCCATTACAGTATTAACATTTTAAAAATTAAAGTAAAAGTTTACATAGTCATAGAATTCGAAAACTAAAAAGGTCCTCAGAAACTATCGAGTTCAACTGCCTATTTTTCAAATAAAGAAATGTGAGCCCCATGGAACATTCGCCAAGATAGACCACATCTTGGGTCACAAATCAAACCTCAGTAAATTTAAGAAAATTGAAATCGTATCAAGCATCTTCCTCTTGACCACAACACTATGCAACTAGATATCAATTACAAGAAAAAAACTGTAAGAAACACAAACACATGAAGATTACACAACACATTTCTAAATAACCAACAGGTTGCTGAAGAGATCAAAAGGGAAATCAAAACATTTCTAGAAACAAAATGACAATGAAAACACGACAACTCAAAACCTATGGGATGCAGCAAAAGCAGTTCTAAGAAGGAAGTTTATAGCAATACAACCCTACCTCAAGAAACAAGAAAAACATCAAATAGACAACCTAACTACACCTAAAACAACTGGAAAAAGAACAACGACAAAAATTAGTAGAAGGAAACAAATCATAAAGATCTGAGCAGAAATAAATGAAAAAGAAATGAAAGAAACAATAGTAAAGATTAATAAAACTAAAAGCTGGTTCTTTGCAGAGATAAACAAAATTGACAAGCCTTTAGCCAAACTCATCAAGAAAAAAAGAGAGAAGAATCAAATCAACAAAATTAGAAATGAAAAAGGAGAGGTTACAATGGACAATGGAGAAATACAAAGGATTATAAGAGACTATTATGAATAACTATATGGCAATAAAATGGATAACCTGAAAGAAATGGAGAGATGCTTAGAAAAGTTAGAACTTGAACTTAGAACTTGAACTTAGAAAAGTTCAAGACTGAATCAGGAAGAAACAGAAATTATGAACCACCCAACACAAGCATTGAAATTGAAGCTGTGATCAAAAAACTCTCCCAAATAACAAAAGCCCAGGATCAGATGGCTTCACAGGAGAATTCTATCAAACATTTAGAGAGAGCTAATACCTATCCTTCTAAAACTCTTTCAAAAAATTGCAGAGAAAGGAACACTTCCAAACTCATTCTACGAGGCCGCCATCACCCTGACAACAAAACCTGACAAAGACAACACAAAGAAAGAAAACTACAGGCTAATATCACTGATGAACACAGATGCAAAAATCCTCAACAAAACTTTAGCAAACAGAATTCAGCAACTCATCAAAAAGCTCATACACCATGATCAAGTTGGATTTACTCCAGGATGCAAGGATTCTTCAATATATGCACATCAACCAATGTGATACACTATATTAACAAATTGAAAGATAAAAACTCTATGATCATATCACCAGATGCAGAGAAAGCCTTTGACATAATTCAGCACCCATTTATGATTAAAATTCTTCAAAAAATGGGCACAGAAGGAACCTACCTCAACATAGTAAAGGCCTACAGCATGATAAGCCTACAGCAAACATTATTCTCAATGGTGAAACACTGAAATCATTCCCTCTAAGATCAGGAACAAGACAAGGGTGTCCACTTTCACCACTATTATTCAACATAGTTCTGGAAGTCCTAGGTATAGCAATCAGAGAAGAAAAAGAAATAAAAGGAATCCAGATCAGAAAAGAAGAAGTAAAGTTCTCACTGTTTGCAGATGACATGATACTGTACATATAAAACTCTAAAGATAGTATCAGAAAATTACTAGAGCTAGTCAGTGAATTTAGCAAAGTTGCAGGATACAAAATCAATATACAGAAATCACTTCCATGTCTATATACTAACAATGAAAAATCAGAAAAATAAATTAAGGAATCAATCCCATTCACCATTGCAACAAAAGAATTAAATAATAACTTAATAAGAATTTATTTATTCTTATTAATTAATAAGAATTAATTAGAATTATTTATTTATTAAAAATTAATAAGAACTGATGATAAATTAATAATAAGAATAAACATACCTACAGAGACAAAAGAACTGTACACAGAAAATTATTAAGACATTAATGAAAAAAATCAAAGATGACATAAACAGATGGAGAGATATGCCATGTTCCTGGGTAGGAAGAATCAATCTTGTGAAAATGACTATACTACCAAATGCAATCTACAGATTCAATGTGATCCCTACCAAATTACCAATGGCATATTTCACAGAACTACAACAAAAATTTTCACAATTCATATGGAAACACAAAAGACCCAGAAGCCAAAGCAGTCTTGAGAAAGAAGAATGGAGCTGGAGGAATCAAGCTGCCTGACTTCAGACTATACGACAAAGCTACAGCCATCAAGACAGTATGGTACTGGCACAAAAACAGAAATACAGACCAATGGAACAAGATAGAAAGACCAGAAATAAACCCATGCACTTCTGGGTACCTTATTTTTTTACAAAGGAGACAGGAATATACAATGGGGCAAAGATAGCCTCTTCAATAAATGATACTGGGGAAAATGGACAGCTACATGTAAAAGAATGTAACTTCCTAACACCACACAGAAAGATAAACTCAAAATGGATTAAAGACCTAAATGTAAGACCAGAAACTATAAAACTCTTAAGAGGAA